CCTTTTTAAAGTGCTTGGGTTATAGGGTTTTTATCATTTTATATAAGAAAATTAAGATATGTAAAGTACTGTTATTTCATAGGGCATAGCACTGAAAAATGGACTCAGTGATAATGAAGCGAGAATACCTATGTATGTTATTTTTCTTCACATGTGACAGCAATGAAAAGACATACTGACGGATGAGCAAAGGAAAATTGGCATATGAATACAAGTTCATGCCTATGTGGCTATAGTCCAAAAACTGTTTCAAGAAGAAAGACTTCATTGCCTGCCACAACATCGAAAAAAAACTCTATACTCAGTACATAGGTCCTTCAAATAACCTTTATAGACCAAATATGCAATATACAAACATGCAAAAGTAGTGTTGGAAAAATTCATAGGGTGCATTCCAAAAGAGTACAACTAAAATGAGAACATAATTACCATAAAGAAACAGGAGCCTAAGCATTCTTCTTCAAGATACATGTACAAGAAGCTGACAAGAAAGTAGCCACAAGGATATAAAGCCAGGTTTTCAAAATGATGAATATAACAACACTGTTCTGTAATAGTGATTATCAAGAGTCAGCGCAAACATTTTTTGAAATGTTGCAAGGCTTAAAAAAACAAAACAGTTGCCAAATTTCTTAGTTTGTCTAACAAGCATTTTCTCAATTTGTTCAAAATATGAAATATAAAATAAAATAATAATAAAAGGGACATGACAGACAAACAAAGAAATATATATAGAAAAAAAAGATTGAAAGGTCTTGCACTCAAAAGGATCTGATAAAATAAATAAACAAAAATAGTAAAGGACCATTCCAATTGTATGAAAAAAAGGAAGCTACCCTTAATAAAGGAATGAGGACTTGTTCACCCTCTCAATAGAACATAAACTACTCACATTTCACGTGGTTTTGAAGTTAGTAGTTGCATTGGATGGGTATATGTGTACAGACAGATATATTATGAACAATGAGCTAATTAAACAGATAATTTTAAAAACATACTAAGTCAAGTCATTCATTTTATTCCACTCAATGACTAGTCAAAAAATATTGATAACTTACAGGACTTGAAGTAAGAGGCAATCCACTAGATTTGTAAAATACTAAACTAGTTGCACTATCCAGTGATCGTCTAAACTTAGCTTTTGCTTCTGCAGATGGTACGTTATTACCCTTACATTTTCTTGTCTCCTGTAATACCACATCATTAAATGTACATAAATACCAAAAAATAATGTTGCAAAAGAAAGCTAAGTAAGTAAACATTTGATAGAATTTTGTATCAAATGAACACACTGTCAAAACAAGTCATTCAATACAAATGCATGAAACAATAGTTTTAAATGAACCTAACACCCAAAGTGAGTTGAATATTAGAGAATAAATAGAAATTTTGATTTCTTATGTGTAAAGTTCATACTACCCTTAAACATTTAGTTAAACCTTTTCTCTGTAAAGCTATCTGCTTGACATGTTATGTTTTTATTCACGATAGCAGTGTAAGACTACCAAAACATGTAGTCTTTTAATGTTGGATGTTAGCCAAATAACATTTTTATTGTGCATTGTAAACATTGTCCTTACTTTTAACTTTAATCTTTTTGCACAAGTTGTCCTGATTGAATTCTCATATCTAAACTATATTTCATTGCTATACAATTAAATGGTATATGTTAGAGATGTGAAAAGAAAGTCAAGTGATATCAACATACTCTTAACCAATATTTTTGTACTTGTAACTTCACAGATGTAAATATACATACATTTTATGCATACACACATGAACTTTTAATATTGAAATTCTAAATTTAATGCAGTTAATAAAACTATCCATACCTTCTGATTGTCAGGTAAAGAAGAGCTATTTTGGGCTTCTGAGAAAAAATGCTTCAAAAAATGGTTACTTTTTGCTATAGTAGCTTTAATTCGAAGTTGGCTCAAACCTTCACTCCAAGTTTTACTATACGTAAGTTTCTGGTTCATTTTTGTGTCTTTCTGATCATCATCCTCTTTGTGCTCTTTTGTACTGAGAGAGGTAGTATTTTCATCATTTTCTATGCCATTTTCATCTTTTAATAATACAAGATCATCAGACATTTCAGAAGAATCTTGTACGAATTCACTGGAAGAATCTGGCTCAAGACTTTCACAGTCATGCTGAAAATAAAACATAGATTGTGATCCTATCTCTGGATGACATGCTTCCTCCTCGGATTCTTTTCCTACCTCTAAGACTTTTATTGTATCACATGCCTGTTGTATTTCATCACTCGTTAAAGAAGTATCACAGGTTTGTAGCACAGAAGTCAGTTTTTCAAAAGAGTTAGACAACTCTTTGTGGGTCAAAGGTTCAAAATGTAGAGTAGATGAGGAAGAATCACCATTCATGTAAATCTGGTTAGGATCTTTTGCTAGCTTGTTTTCAGTTGATGAAATAATGGGATTATCACAAACATTATTTCTAACAGATGAGCATTTTAAAGACTGTAGATGAATATTTTTATTTGGTATGGGAGAGTGTAAGTTTTCTTTCTGTGTGTAAGCAGTTGGGTATAAATCTTGTTTTTTAGGGACGTGGTTACAGTGTGAAAATTGTTGATGCAATCTTTCTAAAACAAACTGCATTTCTACACTTGGGAAAGAGGATGCAATTGCTGTATTACAAAAATAGGAGCTTGACTCATTTGCTTTGCCTTTATGTAATAAATTGTTTTCTTTCTTTGTTACCAATTCTGGTTCTTTCAACTCTGAAGCAATTCCTTTATATCTGATAGGTGATAAGCTAGTAGCTACCCCTCCAAATTCCTTTTTCAAGAAACGTTCCACAACTGGACGGCGCTGATGCCTTCCATATGCGTCAGACTTCTGTCTGACATTTTCTTTTCTACAAGAAGTAGCACCTAACATAAGTCGTTCAGGAGCTTCAAGGCTTGGACTCCCGCTGCGAGATGGAGACTGATATCTCTTGGGATACATCTGTAAGGACTGTGGTGGATCAAGAAGACTGTCTCCTATCATAGAATCAGCAGGACTTGATGTACGTGATGGCTTTTTCTCTGACAGCTGAAGAACTTTCTCTCTATGGTGTCTATCAATTCTTGATCTACAATTATCACCAATGAATTCTTTGTAATTTTTTGAAAGCATTTCATCTTCAACTTTCATGTTTTTAAAATCTTTTGTAATTTCATGTTCTTTTCTGTCATGAATACTGCATACTAAAGTAGCATGAACATAACGAGGTAAAGTTCGCACAGTCACCTTCATGGCATTGTTCTTCCCAACATTGGCCAAAGGAAAAACATGCATTTCAGGTGGTCTGGAGAATTTGTTTGAAAATGCTTCTCCTGGAACACAGATCCTGAAAATAAAACAATGCTTATGAAAATAATGATCTTTAGTAAATTAAAAGTTCATGCACACGTATAAACTTCCTATATAAGAGTTAATATAAAATATATTTAAAATACATTTACAAACAGCAGCATTACAGTTACTCAACCTATTATGTGAAGCTCTACTATTTATTAGTAACTCAACACAAAAAGTTTCTGACTGAAGTCAATGGTATCTCAAAGCTTTGAACTAAAAGTTTACATTTTTTTTTAACAAAAACATTAGAAGAATGATAGTAGTTAAATTTGAATTAAAAATGATTAAAAAAATAAATATTACTGAAATTTCAACATTAATTTTACAGGTAAAATGCCAATCAACAGAATAAAATCAATAGTATATGACTTTAAATTTCTAATTTCATTCTGCTACAGAATCTAATCGCTTAAAAACAATTTTTTTACTCACCTGTACTGTATGTTTTTTGGAGATTTCCCTCCTGAGAGACTAAGCCAGGCACTTAGTTGTGAGAAGTGCAAAAATGAGCGTAATGCAAGAATCAATCCACGAGGAGTTGTATTTGCATTTGGTACTCTGTAATGATAAAAAAAAGTATCCCAAAAACTTACTTTTACACTGTTTCACCTAAACTAATCCAAATCACATAAAATCATGTTCATTGTACATTCTTCATCACAATGATTATAATACAAAGTATACAATTTTAAATCTACATTAACCAGTTGATGTTTCATGTCAAAGTTAACTTGTTACATGTACAACCATTATCTCAACAATTAACCTTATTTTTGACCTAAAGAAGCATAATTTCATAAATTATTTTTCAACAATTAAATTTCAGATCACAAGTTAATGAAGAACTCCTAACGAGACATTTTTTGTCATACAAGAAAAAACTTTATTTGCAAAACTTTAATATACTCTCACTATGATTGTTAGTATATTACATGATACATATATAAAAGCAAGTAAAATTATATTTAGAAAAGATTTTACCAAAGAACATTACATTTCCTAATCTAGATCTATAATATCTAGAGTGTATTTAGATTCAAAAGTTAAACCAGGCCTAATCTAAGCTTTATGCAAAACAAACAGTCTGGAACAGATTTATGTGTGCACTTTATAGATATGTTTATTCTAACCTTTACTAGTGTCAATTCAAGCATTAGAATGCACATGCTGTTTAGGTCCATGCATGTACGTTCATTTAACTACACATCATTTATTATGTTAAAAAGATATTAATTTACAATGACATTCATTTAAATAAATTCATTGAATATATTTATATTTCAGCTAATCAAGGAATGAATGATTGCATCAGCACTTATCATACAACAGATTGCTGTTTCTCTGATCAGCAGTAGAATTTAGTAATTGCTCTAAGCAGTATATTTCTATGCCAACACAATGACACCGTGAATTGTAATAAATATTCACGCATATTCCAGAATTTTTCATTTTCAGGAAAATTTCTATTATTCCAAGACTTTTCCAGCACGGAGAATAGGATTTTAAAATTCCATACTTTTTCAAAACTTTCTAGATTTTGTACAAACAGGAAAACTAGGCAGAAAATGTTTGGAGCTAAAGAAAAAAGCAGTAAACTGATAAACTACCTCCTGATGGCAAAAAGATGATGGATAAACATTCGGTATATCCACCATCACTATCATCCAATGGTTGTGATGAAAAATTTTCATAACACCCTCATGTTTTCCATTTAAAAATGAGATTTCTCCAGGAAAAGATGGATAAATAAATGTCCAATTTCACTTTTCTTTAGAGTCACAAAAAGATAGGATACCCTGGGACTGACCTTGTAATCATTTTGTGCTTATTATAGTTTTCATGTTGTAAGTTTTAAATTAGTAAGCGAATGTTAACAAAATTTGGCAGATTACCATATCAAATAATATAAAACTGACAAAGTGACCTGTCTTGGCTGTGTTTTAGTAGACTAGTATTTTGTAAAATACAGTCACATTTTAATTATTATAAATTATATATGTATATAGATTTCTATTTAAGAGAGAGGCGGGGTGCCACTGTTTTTGATTTATTACATGAGCAATATCTTAGCAAATTGAAAAGATAAAAGGCTCTTATTTTATATTCTAGCTAGTCAATATCTGTAATTTTACTTTCAAATTTGTATGAAACTATAGACTTAGTATTTTGACAACACAAGCATCTAATTTGAAACAGTACTGCATTCAACATACCATGTTTAACTGTTTTTTTAATATTTGCTTTTAAATTAAGAAATTGAGTAATATATATAGTACTAAAATTGAATTATAATATACAGTTTGATACCAAAGTTATTGACATAAATTCATGAAATAGTAGTTCAATAAAATTTTGAATGCGAGTCAACAAACGAGATGACATGGCCTTTCGCCCGTGACCCATCCCTAAAGGGTTAAAGCTTACCTTTTTGGTAACATGTGCACATTCCACTGCTCCAATAGACAAGATGGTGTATCTGGATTAGAAGAAGCCTCTACATTTATGCTATCCAAATTTGCAGGTTTACAACAATCTGGATGTAAAATGACCTCAATGGACATTGGAATGCCATTTCTCCACAGAAGCAGCATGTGTTTCAGTAAGACAGCCTGTCGCTGACACTAGTGACAGATCAAAAGCATTACACATAATTGGTTTTTCTTTAGTTAGTCATTTAACAGATTTCCTGAAATTATGGTAATCTATGTCTTAAAAAGGATAATTATTTCTTTGCTGTTTGGAAAAATTCAAGCAACATATGAATATTATTGAAGAATAAAAGATTACATTACAAAGACTATTGGAGATGCTTCTTATCAACACCAAGTATAAATTAAAAAATACATTTCATATTTTTGTTTTGACACTTCCTATCATGTAAAATTTATGTTAATATTTGGTACACAAGATAAACCTTCCTAGTACTTAAGTACTGTGTCAAAAATATATTTATAATTTTCAACAGCAGGTTACAATAGTAACAAGCATGAAATATTTGTAATAATTTGATCAAATCACAAATTTAAAGAAGTGATTCACCAGACAAAATCTAAAGTGCTGAAATGTACAGGTAATACTAGGTTTATAAGTAAGCTATAGAATTGTTAATATGTGTTTTTCTTAGCTAAGCAGCTGGAAAATTTTGCTCAAGAAATACAGTGAAGTTAGGAATATAACTAAGTCATTGATAGATGTATATAACGTGAACTTTCAATACTAATGATCTTCTGAGTCAATTTACAAATCAGTCATTTAGTAATAGCTTAAATCAAGACATCTTCACAGTTGGCTCTTGATGTTCATTTTTAAAGCTAAGACAGCTTTAACTAGTGTCTAGTCAAACAGACGTTTTTATATTGATTCAGCATTTAATCAAGTAAAACTGGCTTCATTAATTATTTTACAAGTTAATTTTTAAACCACATAGTTAACTTACTTTCATCACAAATTCTTATTAATGAGGGCTGCTTTTAAGTCTATACATCTTCATAAGCAAATACTTTATTTTTTTGTTCAGTGCAGTACAGTGTTTTTCATCCAAAATTTCTTTTCACAGTGTATTCTAAGTTTTCAGAGTAGGTTTAACAATTATAAATGGAAAAAAAAGTCTTAACTTTTTTGTAGTCACACATTAAAATATCAACACATTTGAATCTCTGAAAAATGGCACTAAATTTAAAGGATCATGAAGTTTAAATTTTTTTTTTAAATTACAGAAGCAAATATTGAACATCAAAAAACATTAAGATAAATTCAATCTCTATAACTTTACTCATACTTTAGATTTTAGACTGACAAAAAAAATTATATATATCAATGAAATTAACCTTTTTTGTTTAGTTTGTTAGAAAACCAAACACTTCTTGTTTAACTACTAAATCTGAAATGTAAAGCATACATGATAACATAAAATAACAGATTGGGAAAAATCTAATTAAGCCTTACAGAAATAGGTTAATGCAGTAAATTTCTAAACTTTCCCTCATTGCATCATCTGTATTAAGTATTTCTAAAATTTTTTCCCACTATTTCATTTTGTCACTGTTACAACATTAAGATAATTGGTTTATGCATACAAATAAGCATAGAAATATTAGCCTGAGACTATTTTAAGAGAAATTGGTGTCTATATAGTTAAAACAACACCAAATTTACAAAGAAAGCAATAAAGGTTTTCGGGTATTTCATTCTGCATTTTAGTTAATTTGTACTTGTTTCTTTTTCTGAATATTCAATTTGGAGTGAGCTTCCATTGCACACTTCTAACACATGAAGTTCTTCATTAAAACATATAATCTTAGACCAGTATATTGAGCTAGTTACATTATTTACCAGGTTATTTATTTATTTATAACTTAAGTAGGTAGCCTGTTTTGATCAGATGTTATTGATAACATATTTAAATTAATATGAATGACAAATGTCCAAACTATAAGTAATGTCTGCTACATGGCCCACCAAATCTCAATACTTTAATACACGTTTATAAAAACAATATTGCAAGGTAAATTATGAAAATTCAAATTGTTTATGATGATAACATAGAGTTCTGTTTTATGATGCAAACTTTCTATTTACTATTTTTGTAATAAGTTTAGCTAATAGGTGTCTCTATGTGGCAGATAAGTCACAATAGTAGCAAGACCATAAAAACTCTCTTGAATGTAAACAATATTTCTCAAGTAGAAATTAAATGAAATTATTATATGAAAACGTGTTTGTAACGTTATAAAAGAAAAAAAAATTGCCATTAGAGAGTTACTTTCTTCTAAGAAAGAGTTTGGTTGTTTCGTTTGCTACTCTGTTAGTTAACAAAACTCTAAGAAAGAATGCTAATTGAAAGTATGTTTAATCATCCAGACCAAAACTGTAAATGGATGTAGTTACTAATCACAGTGGAGGTATATTTATTTATACAGAGCTGTATACATGAACATGCACAATATAGTTGATATTACTCGCATTCTTATACACTGTCTGCAGGTATACTGAGACATTTATGTAATAACAAACTCATTAAGTCAAATGTTTTGTATGTCTATTTTATAAAATCAAGGATTTAAAGTAAGATCTAACAAATCCAATAAACATAGTACTACTACTACTTATAGACTATGCACATATCTGTAATTCAAAGTGTATTCTTTCTGAAAAAATGTAACATATGTAAAACTTGGACATAAAAAACAAACATCTGTTCTATAAAGTACTTGTATGAAAGTCATAACAAAAATGTCTAAACACATACTGTGAATATGTTCAATGAAAGACCACAAAGTCAAGTAAATAAAACTTACAAATTCTGATGTTAAGTCACACTCATGTCTGTTTTGCCCATGAGGTGGTAAACAGTGCGGACCTTCTCCATATCCTCTTTCTGTCAGTCCTGGTTGTCGACCTTCAACAATCAGTGTTCCCAAAGAAACATATAGATCACATGGATCTAAATCTACTTCTTCTGCACCACCATGCATATCTACATACAAAAAAATAACGATTAGATTTCTCAGTTATCTAACATAATAATATACTCAAAAAATTTCTGATATCTTGATTGAAACTGGTAGCATATAAATGTACTCTACCAGAAAAAAAATTGGATTAGCCATTTATATAAACCTATAATGTTCAAAAGAAATATCCATTAACTCATTCCATCTTAAAGCAGCATTCCAATTTTGAATTTATTTCTAATGCTGCTTTTCATGCTTTTCATTGGGTAAACAAGACAAATCAATTACATTTTCTCATGAGGTGATGACTGTAGTTTGTGGGATTCATTACTTTAGTATTTTTTTCTCCAAATCAGCTCTATATTTCACATTAATTAAAGTAGTTGTATATGTAATTCTATGTTTAGCTTCATTTCCAAAAAAAAAAAAGAACAGCCTCTAAGAAAAACTTCAAATTATACTTTTATTTTCTACCTGTTTTATTTATTTTCTTTTGTTTATCAATTTCAAATGCTTCAGAAATATTTTATTTAGCTCTTGCTTTTCATTTTGCTTTATAATTTGTATTGAACAAACTAATACTCTGAAAAAAGTGAAATTAAAATTGCAGACTGTTCTTGCTCACTATTTAGTGTGTAATAACCTATATTCAATCCTTTTTATCATTACCAAAATTTTAGTAATTCAGTATTTTTCAACTCTATAACTTTACATTCCTTTTAGTTAGGTTGATGTTCAAGTATTTCCTAGAAATTCAGAGATCTTGTAAAGGAGAAGTTTCCTGCTTTCTAGATTCTATTTTACAAAACTGTAGACTTTTATTTTTTCTGTTTAAAGTATTATACAATTTTTAATGTATACATGTATATAATTTTATATGTATGTAGATACACACACACACACCCGTATTACAAAACAGTAAAAAAATTATTTATACATAATCTAGCAAGTGTGTGTATGTGGGTGGGTGGGTGACAACATACATTTATCACTAATTAACAGCTTGTGTATCTAACAGTTTAAACAACTATTTGATAAACAAGTGCTAAAGTACAACATTATTGATTAAGCATTTGTACAAAGTTTACAAGCCATTTCACAAACCTGGATGCAAACTGCTCTTCTGTAGAGCTTAACAGTAGAACTAACAGCTGTACACTCAGATAAAATACATCTTTTTAATGAACACTGTTATCACAGAAATTCACATAAGCATGTGTATAGCTTTTCTAATGTATTTACATGAACATACAGAAACTTGAAAATGTCAATTCTCTTAATCACCAGATAACGATCTGCCAACTGCCATATGCTAACTAATGAACAATATACCATACACCATCAGCCACTGAGGTCAAATAAAGCTTGATTCACTTTGTTAGTGAAGAAAAAATACATATACTGCTAGGGTCAGTTAATAAATACTCTTGACCCCACAATTACAAAGTTTATGGGTCCTTATCCTATTGCTGAGCTGCTCAGATGTCACCAAAAATATTTGTCCATCAGCATACCAACATAAACCTACTACATATAAGCTAACAAGCTGAGAATTGTATACCTAGAATAAAAAAACTGAAGTTTAAGCTTCTATAAAACAAAGAAAAAACAGTAATAACTTCTTTGTATAAGAATTTTCAAAAAATAGAGAACAATGGTTTTGGCAACCAGAGAAACTTTCCACTATCTTCTTGTGTCTTCATCAATCGTATATCTAAAAATAGGTTAACATGTTCAAACAAATTGTTAGAATATATTATATGGTTGTATTTTACATATCAGCCACAACCTAGATAAATTAAAAAATTTTGTGGTCATGCAAAAATGCAGAAAACAAAACAAGGTCTCCAGCATATTTGCAAAATTCATACACACAAATGAAGGTGCAACTTTAGATGAAACCAAAATAACATTTTATTCAAGAAGAACTAAAATCATCATATAGCAAATAGCATATATCTATCAATCTATACTGAAAATTAAACGACTGTTTCTCTCTCTTTTCTCAAAATACAATTACTAAACTAAAAATAGAAATTTTAATAAATGAATTAAAATAATTATTGCCAATAAATACCCTCCGTGATAGCTTTATAGGTTCTAATGCATGAATCTCAACATCTACCTGCAGTGGAAAGCATTCTGTTACAAAACATGCCTTGAGGGGGGGGGGGGTAAAGTAGTGTGAAACTGTGAAATGAATAAAAATTAATATACATATGCTGAATAAATAAATGAAGAATTATATTTCTCATTTTCCAGGTGGGGCACATGTGCACTCTCTTGCCCCCCTGTGGATGCCCATGAACCATGCTGCACTAAATCCAGCATTACCAAAGGACTTGTGTACTTTTTTACACCTGTGATCAGTGGTAAGTAACAGGATATATAAAAAGTTCCTAGTTATTAAAGTGAATTGTCTGAAAAAGCAGAAGGAATATTATTTTGTTGGTTTCCTGTTTACCAGAGATTTAAAATAGAAATAAAGAATTCAGGATCCATCTTATACATCAATATATTTGTTTCTAATGTGATTTGTCATAGGAAAGCAAGTATAAATGATCTTGGTTTCTTAGCTTTATTTTTAAATAGGCAACTATTCATTATTAATTAAGTAAGGATAATCTGATATTGCCTTAGGTATGTTAACAGACAGTGGGGAGGTGCCATAGAATTGGAAAATTGCTAATGTTACTTCTATTTTTAAATAGAGGAAATAACAGTCGCTAAAGCTGGTAATTACAGATAAGTTTGCTTTACTTCTATTGTGAGAAAAATTCTAGAATCTGATAAAAGAAGCTCTGCAAAATCATCTAGTGAAATATATCACAAAAGAAAAGGAAAATCTATAAACAAGTTTACTTTTTTCCATGATGGTACACATTACTTGGATGATAGAAATGGTGTGAACTTGGCACACTTAGATTTTCAAAAAGCTTTTGATAAGGTGCCAATCAAATGATTAACTAAGAAAGTCACACTGGTGGAGGTGGGAAAAGAAAAGCAGCTTGGATTGTGTGATGGTTGTTACTAATGAAGTGCCTCATGATTCATCACTTAGGCTATTTTTTTCTATTTGAATTAATGATACTTAGAGGACTTAATTGGTATAGTTTGCATATGACATTAAACCTTCGAGAATTTCTAGCTATACTGAGAATGTTGAGGTACTACAGAATGGCTTGGATCAATTAGTTAGTTGGACAAATACTTATAAATGAGCTTTAATTATACACAGTAAGTGCAAAATAATGCATATGGGCCATCATAATTTGGGTAACACAATAAATATATATGGGAAACCACTCAATAGCATCACTGAAGAAAATTATTTTGGCATAGTGGTAGTTAAGTCACTCATGCCATTGAGGCAGTATTCTATAGCTTGTAGCAAAGCAAATCAAATTTTAGGATGTATTTAAAGAGATACTGGTTACAAGTCAAGAGGTGATTATTTCTATGCAAATCACTAGTTAGAACTCAAGTGAACTACTGTATATCATTTTGGTCTCAGAAAGAAAGAGCTGGATAAGATGAAGAAATTGATGATTTTTGTGGAAAATGTGGGAATTTTCAAAGGTACACATTTATAACCAAGCACAATCTGAAGCCTAGTCTGGCAAAAAAAAAAAAAGAAGAGAGAGAGACTGCAAGAGTCAAACTTCAAAAACATACACATACCCAAAAATTAAAGAGGAATAAAAGAAAGAATGCTGAAAATAAATTAACATTCCATTCTGGAGAGGATTATACAACTGAAGGCCATTCAAAATAAAATAATTTACAAATATTTCTAAATAAAGGAGACAAAAAGAACCTGTCAAAAACTGGAAATAAGCCTGAAAACAACCCAGTACCCAAGCATGGTAAAAAACAGAAGAAATATTCAAAATGTTAAAAGAATTGAGATGTAAAATGTATCAAAAATTGTAAGTTGTGTCAATCCTATTGCAAGTAAAAGCTGGCAAAAGGGGAACACACGCATACAAAAATGGAATGGATCAGAATTAACTAAGCAAGAGGACAAAATCTAAAAATATTAATTCTCTCAAGTAATGCTGATAACATTTATAGAAGCAGTTTGTAAGAGGAAAGGTACAGCTTGACCAATTTCTTAGTAAAATCGAGTAACAGCTATCCATATTTTAGAAATAATAAAAAAAAAAATGTATACACAAAATATCACAATATATTTCAATATTTTCATATATTCTGGCATTATCAGGCATAGGACAAAACCCATGACCCAAATATAAAGTTTCAACATTATACAATACCTTGTATAAATAATATTTATTTAATATTGAAAGGTATCTTAAAACATTATATTAGAAATTCTTTCCTTGTGCAAGTCAGTTTCAAAATTGGCTTTTGCTTAATAATGTTTACAACATATTCAAAAATTCTTAATAGGGGAGGGAGGGGGCTTTCATACTGCTAAGTATTTGATTTCTAGGCTTTTCACTTTCCAGATACAATTTTTACAAAATTAAAAATGCGAACCACACTCCTCCCTAAAATGGAATAAATCAAACAATACCTTATTGTTCAACACAACCTCAAAAAGTCTATCTCTGAAAAATATTTCACAGCTGAAAATCTTTTCAACTATCATATATATTTTAAAAGAAAAAAGTTTATTTTTGTTTTGGTAGTTGTATAAAGTCAAGTTAGTCTTACAACCCTACTTTAAGCCAAAAGAGCAAGTACAATTAGAACCCCCTCTGTCCATAGAGTAAAATCAATACCTTTAAATAGTCTTTAATGTATAAAAATAATATCTTTAGTTATGGTTGCAGTGATAACACTATTTATAAGGGTATACCTATGTTTAAAAATTATATGCACAAAATTTAATTCATACGTTTTATATTCACTTTTTACTCTTTGCGTTTTACTTAACCTTTTTTGTTCGTTTGATTTCCTGCTTCCAAGCCTGATAGTGATACCGTTTCTACGAAGATCTGTCTCTCTAACTTTGACTGGAAGCGGAACTAGGTTGAGCCTATTAAACCACCTTGGGGTTAATAAAACGACTGATAATATACAAATACTAGAATAAATAGAGTACGTCTCACCAATTTTTCTTTACATCTTGTAAATGCGAGTTAACTTAATCAAAGCTAGTGTCTTTTTGACATTGACAACTGGCCTTGGTAGCTCGTGTTTAGTTTCACTCAAATAAAAATGATATTAAAAAGAAGAAATCTTACCTTCATTAGGTTTCATGCTCAGTTTTATAAGAAATTAACCTCAAATTTTTCATTTAATTACCTAGGCTATATTGCCTTGCAACATATTGGCAAGTTTTTGTTTGACCAATGACAAAAAAAAACATTTTCAATCTAAGCTTCTTCTCGCCTTGCTGACGTACATGCATCCTATACAAACCAGCTGATTTGCGATCGCTGCATTGTATGCTAGACGTGTCACGTGAACAATAATCTCCGCCTTTCTCTTTCAGCCAATCCAACATAGGGTAGTAACTAGACTACAAAACCAGGTGTCATATTCTGTAAGAAATATATCCAGTCATCGTGTTAAACCTAAAAAAATAAATAAATAACTAGAAGAAAAATAATCTAAAAAATATAATTAATAATATAAAACTAGCAATTTTATGGATTGTATAAGTTCACTTAAACATTAATTAGGAAAGTGTTAAACCAAAAAAAATTAATAAATAACTAGAAGAAAAATAATCTAAAAAATATAATTAATAATATAAAACTTGCACTTTTATGGATTGTATAAGTTCACTTTAACATTAATTAGGAAAGTGTATAGGTTTCAAATACAAAATAAATCATTTTCTCAGTTGTAAGAAATGATATATACAACGTTTAGAGCTGGCAAGTTTACTGCGACATCAAGATTGAATAGATTAAATTCCTTTGAAGTATTGCTAAATTCATTTTTCATTCCTACATTATCATCTCGAAAACTTTTCACGTTTCAGCTCAAATTCTTGCAAAATTAAAAATTTCCCCAAACAGTTCCTCTAATATTCATGTGAGCTTCCAGTTGTTAGATATCTTACAAAAAAATGGGATAACTAAATCTTAGTCGAAAGCGTTCGAGTTTTGGGTCTCGTTTGAAAACCATTACAACTTTTGTATGTGATCATGTGTGCTAACTACTTAATCAGAAAATTTTAGTACAACCGTTATTCATATCAGGCATGAAAAGTATGATTTGCTAAAATCATACATATACACACATATATATAGCCTTGTTTTGTTCAATAACGAATCAGACATTTTATTTTTCACTGTGGCTTCGTGGTAAGTCTAAGGGCTTATTACACTCAAAATCGGGTTTCTATAACCGTGATGAATATAGTATTTTGAATTCCGATTTAGAAGTGATGTTGAGATAAAACCCAGTCTATAGTGGCCTTTATCAATAAATAAATCTTGCATTTGATATCTCTCCCATACTTTTCGTGTCAAAATCATTGTGAAAACAAGTATCTTTTTATCGTATTTTATGCATATTTTCTCACTGAGAAAAATTAAAAGATAAATAAGGGGCTATTTTCAAAAGTATCCAAAGACGGTTAATTAGGTCTATTGACGACACCCACTGTCGCTATTGTAGCATTATCGTATGACTCAAAATTTGTATCCTAAACATGGTTTCTCATAGACTATACTTTGTTTATCCAAGAGCAAAGCTACATAACTGACTGTCTGTGCTCTGTCCACTATAGAGAATCAAACTACATATTATTAGCGCTGTAAGTCTGTAAACTTACCCCTGATCAACTGGGGGACGACCATGCCTATGAAGTATAAAATTATATGAGAATATTGTTATGTCTCCGTTTGTTAATTAACTTTCCGTAACTTCGTTCCGACGAAACTTTAGCGACACAAG